TGTGTGTGTGTGTGTGTGTGTGTGTGTGTGTGTGTGTGTGTGTGTGTAGGTGTGTGTGTGTGTGTGTGCTTGTGATACATACTAATAGATTCTACAAGGCCAAAATTGATCCAGGGAGCAGGGGGTCAATCCAGCAATAGATCTGTGACAAATCTCTCCCGACATTTGGATTTAACATGTCCAATGTTATCAGATGAAAAGAAGCTACATCACATCTTAGAGCCTGCGTCCTCCCTCAGTATGTGGTCTTTTTCCAATATGTTTTGAGGAGTTTTCAATCTCATTTTTTTGTTTCTTTCTTTTTTGCTCCTTGTGAAGTGATGCCACTGCGGCGCTCTCACTGTCAACTACCATCTGATTTCAGGGAGATAAAAGTGAGGAAAATGTGTCTTAAACTGAGCTTGCATCCAGCAGGTTTAGAGCGCTGTGGCTTTGCTGAAGCTTTACCAACAGTCACGGCGTGATCCAGGACAACCAGCTGGGGCGTAAGGACCACACTGTGGCCACAAGCGGCTACTGCAGGTTTGTAGTTCAGGGCATCTTTTGAATTACAGCTGTTCTCACCAGGTACATCTCTGTGGTGTGTGGTTACGTGTGGCCTCAAGTGTTTGCCAACATTTACACTTACAGAAGAATGTCAAACTTTCCATTATCTGCCCTGAACTCTAGTTTATTTGAATCGATTGCTTATGGCTCCTGACAGTGACAGCTCGAAATACCAACGCAGAAAGTTTAATGTGTGAGATGTTGTAGGTTTGTCTTAAAGGTGCTGAATTCGATATTCAGAGCATATCTATTGCCTCTCAAGGCTCCGAACATAGCGATGTCTGTGCCGGTGGCTCGCAGCTAAAGGTGCTAACAGCACTAACAGTGCAAACAATGGCAACAGTGTTGACAGAGCTAAAAGTGTTTCCCTGAGGGGGAACCGGATGGTGGGCACGACACTTTTGCACTGCACAGATGACAAGATATGTGATGTAAATCTATGAAAAAAAATAAAGTTTGTGAATTTGTGGAAACAATGCAGGGAACTGTGTTAAAATTCCCCATGCTCCCTTACAGTTAACATGTGCATGTGTGACTTCAGTGTTGCACATAGGTTGTCAGTGTTAATTAACAGTTTTCTGCTTTGAATTTGTACTCAAAGGCACATCTTTCTTTACCAGTGTTTGTGCAACTTCACTGTTGATATTATTCGAATCAGTTCTATTCTACTCTTACTGTATTTTTTGTTGCTGTACATATAGTGTGAATATTTTCCATACATTTACAAACTGGACTTTCTCATGCAGAAGTCTTTCATTACACAAGCTAATTGCAGGGGGCTTGTCTCCTCTTAAGGAAACCCCTCGTTACTGCCTTCTATTTACTTAGTGAGAATAGTACACAGTGCAGACCATGATCCAGTTATCTACATCCATACAGTACTTCAGACTATGGATCAGTCCAAAACCCCCGAACGTAACCTTGGTCTAGTCCTACATGTCAAAATGATGGTACTTGCACTAAATCACACAAAATCAACTATTTAAAAGATCAGCTGGAAAATGCATCGTCAGAAAGCTGAAAACAGGGCTGTTTTCCTGAGCTCATGAAAAGTTAAGTTTTTAGAGCTACTTGGCTCTCAGGACAGCAATGCTACAGATATATAATGATCATATAGAATATGATGCATTGCTGTAGATTAAACTACCCAACATAAAGGAGTTAAAATTACCATGTCTACTTTTGATACTTTAAGTACATTTTGTCTGCATACTTTTACTTGTAATGGAGTATTTTCATAGCTTAGTATTAGTACTTTTAGGTAAAGGATCTGAATACTTCTTCCGCCACTGCTGAAACCTGCCCAAACCCTGCAACATAGACAGGCCCCTAAATGAAAAAAGGATACATATTCAGCCATTGCTGTTGAGGAACTATTTCCGAATCCACCATATTGAAAAAGTCTTCCAAAGGGCACAACTCTGCAGCATGCTTGGCCGCCCAATAAGAGACTAAAGCTTTGTCAGGTTTTTCCAGTCGTATTCCCGTCTCTAATCTCTCTTCATGGAATAATCATACATTTAATGAGCTGAAACAATGTAATTATGAAATTGGCACAGCCATTCTTCCACTGAGGTATTATAATATGAAAAGTCCTATTAAAAGCGTAATGTTCTCTCTTGCACATTTTCACTCACTTGACATGTTTCATCTCCTTTCAATAAATCCCCTCACCATGTTAGAAGGGCAATTAGAGGAACGGGTTAGTGAGCACAGCAAAGATTCCCTCTACTTCCCCTTCATGATATCTCTCTCTCTCTCTCTCTCTCTCTCTCTCTCTCTCTGACATCTTCTTTTTCTTCTTCTTCCTCATTTCATAAAACAAGCTGTGCGCCCATAAAAGTTTAGTTGTACAAACTTGCTCATATTGCTGTGCCACAAATTGTAGTGCAATAAAGTGTAATTGTGATCCTGCCAGCGTAGAAAAGGTGAACATTGACTCGCTCCCATCAATAAAACATCTCAGTTTAAAGATATATTGGATCTCTTGGGCTCATTGGGCTTCACAATCCATTATGGATCGCATCTTTTACTCGCTGAAAAGCTAGAGAGAAACGAGGCTGCTACTTGTGATGACTCTCAAAGTAGAAGCACTCACTGAGCATCGCAGATGAGCTGTTCCTGATCATTTTTATTTTTGTTGCTTTTTAGGCCTAAAACATATGAAACTTTATTTTTATTACATTTCTTTTACCCGAAATAGCCATTAAATGTATCTATATTGGGTTATTCATTGTTAGTGGTGAAGTCCGACCCATGCTGAATTGAAATTGTCTCAAGTATATCTACACATGAGGAATTTAGAGGTAACAATGCATTTATTTAATCCAGCATTATTTTATTTTAATTATTGCTATCAGTCTCACAGTTCACTGTCCCTCAGCTTCATCAGACCTGTATTAAGAACTGATTTACTAGTTTACATTAAAACAATTAACTGATGAGTTTTGTGGTTCTACAAAGTGTCAGTTCAACACCTTGATTAAAATAACTAGATCTACAAACCTTAATTATATACCAGTTTCGAAAATCTGAAAAGAAGACAAAAAAAAAGAATATAAATGTAATATTGTAATATATGTATTGGCCTGGTTAATTAGTTTGCCTATTTTTTAAGTTTCAGTATTTTCAAAGCCTAAGGAATCATACCATTAACTGCTAACATGTCAAAGTCTTGATTAAAAAAGGGTGAATTGAAACATTATTTCCTCTCTTGACTGCTTTAGACAATTCATTGGTTTCTAATTTGTCTTTTAAAAAAAGTGTCAATCTAACAAAGCATTGGGGTGTGTCCCATCCTCTCTCTTAAGTAACAAGTGAGACTTTAATCAAAGAGGAGTTTTGACAGTGTAATGATACAGACACAGAGGTAATGGCTCTCGTAAAACTCCCGACTCGGTGAAAGCGCTCCGTTTTGCATTATACCCTGTTCAATGTGCTTCTCTGCTCTCCTTTACCTATTTCCTTTGCTTTCTATCCTTCTGTCTGCTTTTCTATTCCCTTACATTTTCCCCTTTTGCTACCTCTGATCTTTTCTCCTGTGCACTTCTCTCTTCTTTCCCTTCCCTTGGTTTCTTTTCATTCTCTCATATTTATCTTTTATCTGGTGTTTTCCTATCTCGTCTTTTCTTACAATTTCATACCCTGTCCTCATTACTCTACTCTTCCATTTCCTCTTTACCCTACCCACTTCTCTCTCCTTTTCTTTCCTCAGTGTTTAGTTTAATTAAAAGAACACCATAACAGTATTTATTCTAACACCACATCGCACTTATTTTAATCAAGACTGTCTAGAGCATCCTGGCAAACCACTGAGCCTCCACGATATTGACATCTCTGTCTTTTGTATTTTTAATCTGTTGAACTTTCTTGCTTTGCTAAACTTCCTACTTGGTTTATTTTTATCTGCTGCATTTGTAAATGTCCTTTAAAGGCAAAGCACATTTTCTTCCCCTGGTTCAGTGGCCATCGCAATGTTTGGCAATTCATTTGTAATGAATGGTATTCATGACTGAGCGTGGACTGACTGCCTAATTTGGGAAAGGATCAATACGGTGTTAAGACATCACCACCTTTTGCCAAAAGCTGACAAAGACTGTAGCTTGTTATAAATACATTGCCAGTGTGTCTTTCAGTCTTTCAGTGGGTGGAGTTATTCAAAAATGTTGCGATCCCTTTACGTGGAGTCAGTTGTTCTGAAAGTTGAAAAAACCTCTAGAAATGTGGGCAAAAGTACAAAAATGTATATCTATGTTTGTGCTCACTTGCCACACTTTGCAACATGTCATATTAGATGATACTCGGACGCTTTTTTTTTGGAAGTTTAAACTCCAGCAAAAGCAACGTCCTCTGAGTTTGTGTTATGTCCGTCGAACACATCGGTTAGTCCTCTTCCTAAATGCCTTTCTTCTTATTATGTAAAACGTGAACTATGTATGAAGAACAGTATGTAAGCTAATCAGCCAAACAGGGATACGTCAGGATGAAATACTTATAATACTAGAGTTGACGTTTTGCCTCGGACATGCTTCATTTTTAAAACAAGTCACCTGCCACCAACCAACATGGAGCTAATGTTATCTTAACTAGCGAGCTAGCTACATCTGATTAAATCTGCCAGTGATAGTTTGCATTCCGGCAATCAAAAAATAATTGCCAGTTGCTAGCTACAAATAAAACAATACAGTCATTAGAATAAATGTTGGCAGAAACGCACAATGACACATGGCTAATGTGGTGAAAAGATCGGTTAGGTTTAGGCAAGAAAACTACATAACAACGTAACGTAACAACGTAACGTAACATCGTAACGTAACAGTGTAACGTAACAGCGTAACGTAACAGCGTAACGTAACAGCGTAATGTAACAGTGTAACGTAACAGCGTAACGTAACAGCGTAACATTACATAAAAACGTAACGGTGTAATGTTAAAACATAAAAACATAACCATAAATAAACAACAACTGCTCTCAGGGGATTTCCTTACAAAACTTTACAGAAAAACACCTACAGAAAACAACTATTGGGAAAAAAGTCTTACAGACAACAACCTTACGAACAACAACCTTACGGAAAAAGCGTAAAGTAAATGTTTACACCATCAGAGGTCACCTGGGTGAAAGTCCTGTGTTTGTTCATTTCTAATCACAAAAGGTAATGTGAAGTTTCTTGGTCTGTTTTTGGTGTCTGATCAGATCAGATGTCTGATAATGGTGTTTTGGTTGCCTTGTGTCTTGGGAATGTAGCCGATTCACCTCATTTTCTTGATAAAGCATCAGTGTCTCAGTTTACCAGTTTGTAAGGGTCAATGTCATGCCAACTGGTTGACTAGTCACCAGCGACTCACCTCATTTGTTGAGAGAACCGAGTCTTCATCCAGACTGAGAATGGCATCAGTGAGGATGACGCTGTGGGGGAAAAAACGACTGCTCATCGTCTGGAGGGACAGAAAGACAAAACTTAGATCATTATAATGTATCGATATAAATATCCCATCTAAAGCAACATAAATTACATTTTTGTGATGTGGCAATAAGCATCAGTGGTAACTGACCTGTAGCCAGTACTTGCTGAAATGTTTTGGTTCACATTCGTTTTTTGAGTATTTTATACTTGTATTAGATAACTATAGAGGAGTGACAGGAAACAAAACAGAGATTGTAAGTTTGGCAAGATTTGAACAGAAAATCCATAGTTTTTTATCTCAGGATATATGTTTATAAGCATCTTAAGAGGTATAGAAATGGTATCAATGTGTGAAAAATCAAGGCAAAATAAGCAATGACAAAATGTCTTTGTTTCACAACCTCTTGTGTGTCCATCAATCAATGAGCTGACTTAAGAGGTTTTGTGTGAGTCTTTATCAATTCACTGCCTAACAGAAAGTGTAGTAGACCTTGATCCATTGGCCTAAAGAGAGTTGCTGCAGCTGATTATGTTATTGACCTGTAACTAAAGTGTAAATTATTGAACTGTTGAGTAGAAAAAGAAAACAGAGCACAGATGTTGACTTTATGAAAGAACCACCAGGTTACACACTGCAGCATTGCTCTCACACACCGTTACAGTTTGTGATCGCTCTGACCAATGTTTACTTATTCAGTGGGTAGAACCTCAAAATGTGAGCCCTTTTCTGGGTGTCTTTCAAAGAAAAAATGGTTATTTTGAATCATCTGTACCATCAACTATTCATCAACCATTATGATTATCTCTGCATTAGGTTTGACGAAAACTTACTGGCTGTAATTATGTCTTTATTTCTGGGCTTTTATCTTGGTCAACTAAGGTTTTATGTAATTGAAATGGACCTCTGTGTTGACTACAGTCACAGTAGTGGCATTTAACACAGATTCACTGTCTGTCTGAAATAAAGTATATAAAATCCATACGCCCCAGGGGTAATATTAAGAGGCTTATTTTACAAAGCAAGGCCACAAATATCCGCAAGTTTAATGTGTACTTCCATCTCAGCTTATTAATGAGCCGATGAATGCTGACTGCAAATTCATCAAGAAGTTCAGTGTAACATCAAATGAATTTCAATGCAAATCTCCTAAATTATTTGAGAGTGCCACATAAAAAAATGCATTAATTCACTGCTTAAAGTCAGTACTCTTGGCAGAAAATGTATTTTCTTTGGATGGATGCCCTATAATCAGCAGGCAGGTAATTAGTTCTGTCAGGATGAGGTTCATACTAGTGTAACAGTCTCTCAGCTTTCTTATGAAAACTGCCATCACAGTGTTATTGGCTGAAGTAAATTAGCCACTTGCCTGATTATGAACTGTATTCATCCTGGATTAATGGTCGGAATGCAGTAAATTCATGAAATTAAAGATTCCCATGAGTAATACGAAGCATATGCACAATCCCATGCACAATGCACACACATTGTCAAGGGTCAATTTACATTATGACCTCCCAGCATCCTTCAGCACCTTCATAGAGGTTTATTTCAAAGGGCCCCTTGTTCATTGCCGATGATTGACTGATTTGAGCCTCTTTCATTGTTTTTCTCTTGCATCAAGTGTTGAAATAGTTTTTAATGCCCCTTTACAAATATATTAGACCAAAAACTGTTTATTACATAATTAAGTTGACAAATCATTCTGGACTTTAAAAAAAGAAGCTGACAAACCAATCGAAATCTTAATCAGCTGATGAGGACCATGTGATATGGTTGTTTTCAACCATATCACATGGTCCGAATAAGTCAATAAGTCAACATTGAGTTGAGTTTGTTTTGTCAGCTGCCATTTCCAAGTTCAAGAGTCAATCTACCATCTAAGTTCAGATGGGTATATCTCAACAGTTGGATGGATTGTCATGAAACTTGGCATTGACATGATCGGGCAGGATGAATCCTAAAAACTTTGGGTGATCTCTTAACGTAAGTAAAGTGGATCGGATTGACGGTTTCCGAAATAAGTGAAGGGCACATACACAAATGTACACACAGACAGAGATTTCTTGCTCGATTGTTAGATGAACACGCTGACATTAGCTCAAAGCAGCGCTGCGCCTAAGTACAGCCACACAGGGATGCATGTGCATGGCTGTAGAATCTTGGTCTCGTTTATTGTGATTTGTCAAAATGAATTCACATCACATCCATACAGACATACAAAACCCCCGTCACCCCACTTCCCTCTGGCAGGTGTCAATGCTTTTCTGCCTCTGGACAGAGATTAGATCCCACTGAGATCACTGGCAGTTCAATGGTCTGAACCTTATCTTTGTCGTCTTTGTCGCTCTCCTTTCACCCATTTCCCCTCTTTGTATTTGCCATGACTCCTGCTACTTCAAGGGGCGTCTTTGAGGATATCTGGTCTCTCTTTGTGTCACAGATCTATCCAGATATCTGTAAATTACAGCTAAAAGTCAAAGATCACATCTTCATTTATCGGCACCATAAACTATCGACAGATCCTGTCTCTCATGATGAACATTTTGATGAGCATCTCATTATATAACACAAAAAAGTTAAAGGATAACTTGTTTCCATTGTGGACGTCTGGTAATTGGACTACGCTCATCAGGTAATTCCATTTCATGTGCTTTCATGGTCTAAATGGAAACGACTATAAAGGTTTACATCACCTAGTATACAGTACTGCAATCTGCTGTGTGTTACAGCTGACATGGACTGGAGTTAAAGCTGCACAAACTTATATTGTTTTCTCATGAATTTAACAGTCGCCCTCTATCTTTTATGAACCGGATTTTAGAATTTTATATATTTTTAATTTGCACCTTGTTGTTATTGTTATCTTAGACTTTTACATTTTTACATTTGCACTCTTCCCCACTCTTTGTATTGCAGGCTGACTAATTTCTCGAGGTAAATCAAGTTTAATCTTACCTTATCTTAGTTTCTTGGCTAATCTTGATTTTTATTCAGTGCAATCTGCAATGTGTTAGAACTGACATGGTAAAATAGTCAGTTTGCCAACTCTTCACTTTTATGATCCTTTGGTATAATTTAAATGCATAGCTAAGGAATCAGGATCAATTTTCAAGATTAACTTATCAATATTAAATGCGGGGTGTGGTGGCAACACATGCCATTTTGCAAGGTGATTGATGAAGGTGAGATATAGTCGACATATTAACAGTGAAAGTAGGGAATCCTTTGATAGTATTGATGTGTGGGTCATAAATGCTTAGACAGCAGGACCTCACTTATACCAAGGTCAAGTTATGAGTGACCTGATTCATCTGATCAGTCAGCCATACGTCTTGTGTGCTTAAACAATTGCTAAATAATTTAAACTTGTACAATTCGGAATCATTTAGATGGCTTCAGCCAAATCGGAAACCCAGTGTAAACTCTGATGATATGTTGTGTTGCGTGTATTGACAGAAAACAAGAAAGAGTTAGGTCAGAGAGGCATGTAACAGGGTCAGGATCTCTACTGTGAATAAATTATCTTACAAAGCGTACAAACACATTGGACAGGGTTCATTTATTAATCAAATGGATGTAAGTTTCTGAAATCTCTGTTGAAATTGCATTTCACTTGACATGGGCATCCATCTGTAATGCCTAATTGGAAAAGTTGCAATAAAAATGAACAGGGTGGAGGGTACGCGTGTTAAAAAAACTTCAACGACTGCTAAATCAGAAAAATCGACCTAAGGCCAGAATCAAACAAAAGATCCACACACTGTATTCATAGTTCTGAGCAAGTTTAAAGATGCTAAATTTGATATTCAGAGCATTGATAGAGCACAGAACAACAATTTTCTTTGTAAAGATATTGTGGAGTAGTGTTTACCTGCTTTTAATGTATGCGAGCGTGCCCAACTAAACAGCTCACGGCCGCCGCTCTAAACTGCGCTCTTGCGGCGGTTTCAGCCGATAACAGTGTCCCAAACGACGGCGTTGTCGCAAAAGCGTCGCACCCACCCTCCTGTTCCCACTCAGCCAAACACTGCTGGCTCTATTGGCATCATTGGCACTGCGAGCCACTGGCTCGGCTGTCAACACGCGGAGAGCCAGATGGAGGCAATAGAAATCTAAATCTTATGTTTAGCACCTTTAGTTGTTGAAAATTGCTGGGAGCTTTTAATACAATGCACTGATCAAATGTTAAAGACATGCCTGGCGAATGGCTGGGTTTTGTTTAACAAAAGTAAAACAAGAGTATAAAGGTAGTGGCAATAATGTAAGAAAAGAATGTAATCTTTTTTTAGATTGCTCTATAATAGTTTAAACATATCACACTTCAGTGTGTCTACTTTGCATCATTTTAAACCTTTATTGCCAAACAACAACTCATTGATGTTAGTGAACCTGCAGTCAGTTTCTTTCTGAATTGTTAAAAGTTTAAACTCTTGTTATGCTCCCTATTTGTAAAATTTTTGGAGATGTATCAAAACTGTTGGTCTGGAAACTGGATTCAAAAGAAGACCTGTGGGACAATTATGAAATAAATTCAAGAGTATCTTATTGTATGAAAAGAGTGGAAGCAAACGGAAGAACAGGAAAGCGTGAGTAAGCTTGCTGATGGAATGTATCAACTCAGCATTACAGAGTAGATACAATCATAAGCAACAGCAAATTACTCCGCTGCTGCGCTCAGTCAGGGCAATTTGCAAACTTTCTGTGAGTGTTATGATAGTTGGAACAAACACAGCGGGCGCTTGGTAGAAAATACACCGAAGAGCAGCTGTGCGGGCTGCACGACAATATACCACATGACTAATTATAGGACCATAGACGCTGTTGGGTACTGGCACACACTCACACAAGCGCATGTTATTGCCTTTGAGACGCGTTTTATTGTCACCAGTGGAAACATTGTTCTTTTATTTCAAGGGGGACACATTTACGTGAAAACAAACAGAAGCAATTAGACCACGAAGCATCATGATCAGAGAGAGAGAGTGGCTTGGCATGTTGGTGATCAGTGAATGAACGAGTGAGAATGTGACTCTGTGTGCGCTTTTAGGAAGAAGCTTGATTGATTGAATAGCTGTGAAAATGAGTAAATTGAAAAAAACACAAGACTATTTTCAGCATCATGTAACAGTCGTGAGTTCATGTGTATGCGAGGACGGGATATTATCCCATAATACTGCAAATGACAACAATCCCAACAAAGTCACACTGGCGGCTTCGCTCTAATAGCTGAATCAAATCTCCTGTTGCTTCAATCTCACATTATCAAGAGCCTATTTAAACCTGAAATAGCACTGCATTACAATACAGTCAACACAGGATGGAACGCAATCGAATACACTGTTCAATATATCACTCTCTCATTCCAGCAGAGTTGTCTCTCTATAGCTGTTAACATAGAACAGTTCACATGATTGGCATTCCATTCTATTTGGAGGACTTCAATATTTGCTTTTATTACAAATGGGGAATGTAGCTAAGTACTAAGTACATTTATTCAACTAAATATACTTCAGTACCATTGGGAGGTACCTGCTCTATACTTTAGTACTGATATTTCAAATGTATGCATCTTTTACTCCACTACATTTTAGAGTGAAATATTTTTAACTTTTTACTTTTCAGAGCAACAAAAAAGAACAAAATAAAATGTTTTGTCGATAGCAATCAAACATATTCAACAAACTGTTTACTTACATGACTGTTAATGAAAAACAAATAACAGAGCAAATAAAAGCCTTTTTCAGTGATTTCAGGCTTGAAAAGTTAAAACTGACTGATACATTTCATCCTTAATTAGCCTTAATCAAGGTCCACACTTGTTTTGCTGTGGGTTTTAATATAATAACAACCCCAACGGGTCTGAACATCTGGCGTTCTCACCGGTGCTTTGCTTAATTTCTTGAATCATCTATCATGAAATGAAGCGGAATGCCTCCCTGAGGTTATCGCAAAACTCCAAATGCACATCACAGGATCATTTGAGGTCTATTTTAGATTTCAATACCTGTGCTGGTGAGGTGTTAGAATTCACAATTTTTCTCTTATGTCAAAATATTGTGTATTTTTCCTCTTCATGAGTCTGGGTGAATCCTCAGGAGACATTTTGATCATTAAAACCTCAAAGCTAAAGGCTGACAGTGATCAGTCTGTCATATCCAAGCCTCTCCTGTCCTCTTAGGCAAAATATCTAATAGTGAGATCACAGGTAATAATGTGTTGAGGACATATTTGTAAAGTTAGAGTAGTCTTCTGCGCTTGATGCTGCTCTGCAATATGAGACAGAGGTGCAAGTCATTGAATCACGCCATTTGTTGGAATGTCTGAGTAGTTTACATGTACAGATTAGATAATCTAAAAAAGTATTTTCCATCACAGCTGAACTGTGGTGCAGGTACAGCGGGTTGTCTTTTAATCTCAAGGTTGGGGGCTCGATCCCCCGCTCCGGCTGTCTGCATGACGAAGTGTCCGTGAGCGAGACACTGAACCCCAAATTTCTACAGATGGGCAGGCCAGCGCCTTGAATGGCAGCTCCGCAACCAGAGGTTTATGAATGTGTGTGTGAATAAGAAGCATATCTCAAAGCGCTTTGCCAGTTAAGTTAGAGGGGCGCTCTAAATATTGGTGGCGGCTATGGCTCAGTGGTTAGAGCGGGTCATTCTTTAATTGCAAGGCTGGAGGTTGGATCCCCGGCTCCTCTTGTTCGTATGTTTAAGTCTCTTTGAGCGAGACACTGAACCCCAAGTCTCTCCCGGGCCGCTTAACAGCAGCCCACTGCGTCCCAAATGCTTAGGATGGGTTAAATAAAGAGGTCAAATGTAATGTATGCACGATATATTTGACGATAAATTAAGGTTTTACTGTAAACTTCTGTTTTAGCTGCAGCTGAAAAGTAAGACTATGCGTGGAAACACTAATGAGGTAGGAGAGGCGTCTTTGTATTAGTACCTATGACTTGCACATGCTAAAATCCCTAAGATCCAACAGGTATTTTCCCCTTTGAACCCAAACATGTTTTCATCCTTCCTCTCTGGTGTCTTAAAGTTGAGGTTTGTGGCATTTAGAAAGCAGCCAAAGGGTCGGTTCTTTCATTGCCATAAAACTCAAAGAGCGTTTGAGAAAATCATTTTTTAGAAAGGTGAGATAAATCTCCTCACTGTTATGCAAAAAAGTATCTTTTAGAACATAATGGATGCAAAAAGCCAGCAGCTGTTACCTTGGTCTGTCCTTCAATGACAGTGAGAGGCACGCTGGTGGAGGGCCACTTGTTCCTAGGAGGTAAAGGCTTGTCGAAATTCCATAAAACCACAATCTGTATATGAAAATAGAGTCAGTTACAACATTATGTAAGCATCAACATCATTATACACACATTTCTGCATAGAGGTTGTTTGAAACAGTTGATTTCTTCCACAAAGTAACATTTAAAGATACTTTAGAATCTGCCTCAGGAGGCGTTTTTCATCTTTAAAGGGGCAGTTCCTCCAAAAATCTAAAACCAAATGCATTATTGATCAGTCAGTATGTTTCAACTGCTGTTATACAGGTTATTTATAGGCAAATAGGTAATATGCTGTATAAACTGTCCATCTGCTACAAGAAACCTGGTTTTCTTGAACACTTATTGTTATGCCTTTATCTGGCACAACTCTCTTGATCATTTTAAAATGGGATGTAAAAGCAAGTTAGTTAGTATTGTAGGTAGTAGTCCTGTTGATATTATATCATGCACAAAGGTCAAGCAAGTATGTGTGTAAATAAATGCAATGTTAGCAGTATGGCAACTGTAAAGAAAAGGTACTAGGATCTTGACAAACAAAATAATTATGTTCTAATTCTAAGTCCTAATTTTGTGAAAAAAAACCCTCATAAAATTACAAGAAAAAGGTCACAATATTTTTAAATATTATAATATAATTTTATGAAAAAAAGTATAGAAGAAAGTAGTAATAAAGGTTACTTTGAGAAGAACTGTTGTGACTAAGAGTATGCATGTTAAAGTAAAGTCTTTCCTGATATACTCTGCAGCTACAATTATTCTTTTGAGCAGTTTATATAGTTCTTGTGTCTGCATACTCTATCATACCCCCCTCCCCTTTACTTGGCATTTAATTTCAGCATCCAATAGCATATTGTGCTTATTGATTCATCTTCAGGTCATCAACATCCTTCACAGTAGTATTCAAGTATTACGACTTTTTGCTTGATTTATTTTGCACAGAAGGCCTAACACCCTGTTGTATTTGAGGAATGGCTGAACCCCCTTCTCAAATCTTACTACCTGAAGATGTAAGTCGATAAAAAAAGAAATATATATATAAATAATGCAACGATTGCAGGAGAAGGAGAGCCAAATAGGAGAAGCAGGGGAAACAAAGGCTCCAACTGAACAGACGGGTACAAGGGATACATTTCTATCACAAAATATTGACACCTCTTTATATGGTGTTTACTTTGCTATGTGTATAATATTGTTTTTCATTATTTCCCTTCGTTGAACCGGCACCAAATCACAGTTGGGTGTAGACACTCTTCCCACCTGTGCACAGAACTTGGACTTGGCTATAGCGATGATGAGCTTCACCACGGGGGAGATCTGGGACTGCAGAGGAGTAACGGTATGGATCACAGCTGTGAACTGCTGCGCCGGGCTCTTACCTGGACACACACACAGAAACAGTTGTCATGGGTAAACTGTATTTAGGTCTTTAACACAGATTTGTGCAGACGTAGCGCTCCATAAAGCTCCATAACGGTTAACTGGACACAGGGTGCTCTCAGCTGCACCCGTCATCAATCATTCTGACAGGATATATACCCCCCTGCTTCCCATCAGTGAGCACGAGTAAACACGTCTAATCCAAGAGTTTTCTTTAAATGTCTCCTTTAGAGGATTGTGAATCGTGCTGATTTGTTCATATAAGGAGCAATTGTATTTTCTACAGCCTCACAATAAAACAGCTCTTGTTAGTTGCTGTTTTTGCATTTTACTGTGGCAAACATTTCCAAACAGGTCAAAAAGAGAAATAATGAAGTGGAACCAAACTTTAAATTACTATCCACGATAAATGACGCCCAGTATACGGTATAATGGGTAAATTGAGTTACGGAAATTGATCCCAGCTGTGGCAGTCTGTACAAAAGAAACGTATCAATATTATAATGCATTGGCTTTCAGGATCGGATTTCATTTTCTGAATAAATGTTCTAATGTTCCGTAATAAATAAAACCATTGTGTCTTACTGAATCTTTGAATAGAAGAGCATATAAAGCCATGTCACATGACGTATCTACGTGCACGCGAATAGTTTGATTATTACCAGATTAAGGTGACACACACACTTGTTTTCTGTAAACAGAGTTATATTCATGCCTGGTGTAAGAATGTAAGATTAGCACACAATCATTGGACTTAGATGAAAGAAAAGATCACACTCAGAGCAGCGCAGCTCTCTTTGTTGCATGCCGATTAAGGCTCATGGTGATCATTAATGTGATCATCAAACAATTTAGTTTATTAGGGCTATCCTGAGGCTTTAATCAAACTATTTATCTGCTTGTATGCTACGATAATCAGGTTATAATGTGCATGGATATTTTGAGATTACTTCTAGCATCTCACAAAATGCATGCAGAGCTTTCAACAAAATAGAATAAAATTCCTCTCTGCAACAGCAAGCGATGTGACTTATGGAGAAACCATACAAAAATCATCTTATTTGTTAATAGTCTCAGCTATCTACATATAATCTAGGCATTGACATGTTATCTCCTTCTGATATGCCAAACTTGTTAGCAAACAGTTTCCTATTTACACATCGAAAAAATGATTAGCATCCATTGGGAGTTGTGGTTATGGTTGTGGTACTTACATTCGATGAATGTAAGTCTAAATCATTATTTTCCTTCTGAATCTGTTCTGGTCAACTTTTTGCAGCCTTTTTTTTTTTTTGCTGCCAACTGCTGCTTGAAACTGGTGAGTGAACCAAAAGGTCAAAGTTGTGGGTTGTAAACCAAAACAATTAGCTGAAAGACGCTAAAACAAACACACTCTGCAGAGTTGAGGGGAGCTGCAGATTCACTACAGACAATCGTTTTCACATTACAGATTTCTTTTGAAGCAATTGAAAAATATTGATTAGAGCAGCTTTGAATCAGCTCAGAATATACAATAGGTAGCCTGCGGCAGACGCAGTATGGTAACGCACACGCAGACACGAGTAATATTACCGACAACTGAAGAAGGCGAGCATTGCAAGTGTCGGGTGTGTGTGGGAATAGGGGAATAGACATCCTCATGGTTACGTGGAGCCGGAGTGCTCTTTAGTGTTGCTCTATCCATCTCTCTGACACCCGGTCCCCTGACCAGACATCTCAGGTGGGCTTAGTGGTATTTATGGAAGCACAAGGTCTGACCTTGAGGGGTCGCAGAAATAGGCTCAGTCCTTCTGTTTCATCTGCCACCGTGGTTTTGATTAAATTACATACATTTCAAACTGTTATACTAATTAGAGGGCGATAGTTAGGGTATGATACATAATAATGGAAAAGAGAGCTAATGTAAGTACTTTACTGAGGCTCTGACAAAAAAAACAACTGCTCCATGCCTAACATTTTTTTAGCTTTGCCCATATTAAGAGGTAGGTGTCTGTAAATACTGGCCTCTGCTGCACCAATTTTTAAGTCGTCCACACCTTGAGAGTGATTGAGGTCACTTGTGGGTCGTTAGTCCACACGGCTGTCATGTGAGAGCAGTTAGAGTCACATTAATCCAGGTGTGAATAAGTCCTAAACGGCATGGAAAAAGAAATGTGGACGGCATTGTAAGTGTTGATAAGTGTTGTCCATTTTTTTCAGAAAAAGCTGGGGTCTGTTGATTGACAAGTGTCTGTTTCTTATTACCCTCCACTCTATTGCACCTGCTGGTGTCACTGAAGAGGTACTGTACCGGACGCTAATCTGCTGACCCTTAAAACAAGTAGCACATTGTGACCGAGTATAGACGATGCATTCTCTGCGAGGGCAAAAGCAGAGAACTCAATATTCCAAATCAAAAAAACTCAAAGGATTTCTACCAACTCTTTCCTATCATTCTGTTTGGGGGGGAAGAGAGTTTTTAGCAACATTTAAAAAACTTTACAAGAGATTACTGCCAATATCACTGCACAGGAGACCTCAATGTGTATGCGGCACAATTTCTGTGGGAGGTGTAGCCGGGAGGAAAAAGTTTTGCAGAAGAAGAAGAGAGAACTTTAACTTTAACACACACAAACACACGCACACACACAATCAACACTCACTTCTACAGACTCTCACAAAAACACAAACACACAAGGCAATGATGAATTGTTAATTGTTTTCATTTTCTTGATTTTATGGTTTTTACCTTTTAATGTATTCTTCATAATCTCTTTATCACTTGATGTTTTGGCAATATTGTCTCATTGTTACATTTATGCCAGTAAAGCACAGTGAATTGAATTGAGTTGCTCTAAATGTTTCAGCACCATGGAGAGAGACAGACTGCAGATGTGCTTACAATCAGGGGCACGATCCTTCAGAAGTTTGAATCCCTAAGCTGAGATGTTTTAAGGCTCACCTTGCACTCGCACTTACTTCACACACTAATGGTGCATTTGAGTAGTCATTTCAAACTATATAAAATTGAAAGGAATGCATTTTAAAGTGTATCGCCTTGAATTGCCCTAAAATTGCTGACAAGCTGTAAACACTAATGGTAAACTTGGCAAAGTTCTATGATATCTTAATACAGAGTATGAGTTGGGACTTTTCACTTTAGCACATAATGGACGGTTGAAAAATTCTTTAAAAGTCAGAAAACAGTAGTGTGGTGTGTGGTGAGCTGTTACGAGTTATGTTTCTTGCTCAAACTCGGACAAAGCTGAAAGACTATAGGGGAGGTGAGTTTGGGGATTCCTCCCAACTTTCTTCATTGTTCTCATTGTTTTCCTCATTGGCACACATGCCCTTAATGAACTGCACGGCATATTTGGATGTGTGCACCAGGAAAGGTTAAGAAATAGACTACAAATACCAAAAGAAAAATAACAATAATTACAAAAAAATATTATATCAGTGATCAAAGTTTGGAGTTTTGAGACACATTTTTTTTCACTAGATACTGTCAAACAATTTGTTTGTTTGTTTTTTATAACCTAATGTAGCTCCGTAGCACAACTTTTCACTAACTAAAGTGAAGCTATAACGAGCCATCAAATCAGGTAATTCTTACAGCTCATGAGACCACTACATCTGAGTAGTGAGTCAAACTTTTTTAAACTAACAGGCAAAAGTTGCAAGTGGTTTGCAATAAAACGTTATAGGAAGGTAGCAGAGTGAGGCCGTCGTACAAACGGCATTGACGACAAGTTATTCCCCGAGCAGCAGCACTGGAGATGGCAGCCGCTAAAATAGTGATTTACTGCGGTGACATAAACCAAACTGCCCCATATTTCCTCCCATCCCTCACTTCTTTCTTCCTCCTAACCCTTGTGTCCACAATTCCTCAGAGAAAGGCAAACATCGATCTCAGTTAGCCTCAGTCTCTCTAGGCTGCATGCATATCTATACACACCCACATACACACACACACACACACACACACACACACACACACACATACACACACACACACACACACACACACACACACACACACACACACACAAACACCAGTCCACTTTCTCCTCACTCTTTGCCTGCAGCTTTAAGTTTCTGAACTCTGCTTTAACAGCAGTCTTGTGGCCCACATACTGTATATATATGTACATATATTGTTGTACATTTAGCTTATCTTACTCACAGATTCAGTTAATAACCAGTGATGCAATCTATATCATGAGATTCGCTGATTTCTCTGATATGTTTTTTTTGTGTCCTGAGATAAGTCCTGTTGGAGCAGTCAACATCCAGCAATAGCCTCCAGGCAAGCTCTCGGTAGCAGAAGCAACAACTTACTTGAAACACATTGGAGAAAATACTGGAAGAAATGTAGCTACATTTACAGAAAAACTAAGGAGGAACACATCTCATACTGCAACTCCACCCAAACACCTGCCATCTATCATGCTCTAAGTTTTGGAATATAAACTGGGGGCTTTGTGGGATGCAAAAAGGGAGTAATGTTGCCCTAGAGTTTTTTTTTTTTTTAATCCCTATATTTGTTTACAGTTTGGAAAATGAGCACCATTAAATGTATGCCAAATTAGCTATTAACAGTTCCTGTTTGCAATGTATCCATGGATGTACAGACAATATCACACATTTACTTTGATACTGAAAGATCTGACGATTCTCAGGCAAGTTCTGGAGTTATAAGGAGTATCTATTTTTATGATTTCTAAGCAGATTTATAAACAATTATTTGCTATGGGGTCAGATATAATGATATCCTCCATACTCTAAGTCACACTGAATCTAAAAATATGTGTATGAGTTATGATTTAAGAATTTTGGGGCCAATTACAACAACCGGGCGCCAAGGGTTTTAAAGTCTCTTAATCGGCTCCATGAGGTCATATCCGGACAAAAGCTGCGAGTGAAACACTCAATGTCAACAGCATTTATTCAAATCAAACCTCTAATCTGACAAAATCACCTCTTACCCAGGATGGCATAGTAAAAAGGGAACTGGACCGGGTCAGTTGAGTACTTGGGGAGTGCATAGAGACCACCAGGTAGGGAATTCCACAACAACCCGTTTCTGGACACATGGGAGTCCACACGGTCCTGGATGATCTAGTTGGAAGAGACGGGAGGAAGTGCAGCATAAAAAAAAATTTAAAAAAGAACAAAATACAAAATACAAAAACACAAATGCAAAGATAACAAGAAACAGAAAGGAGTGGGTGAGGTAGATGATTGAAGAGAAGTGAAGATAAGAATGTGTGACAAGAGGAAAAGAAAGAAAAGATTATTTAAATAATTTCATTTTCACCCCATCAGTCTTTGTATTTCATGCAGACGGCTTAACAAATTAAACAGAGTTGACTTAAGGGTGCCAGTCACAGAATAGTCATATATACAGTTGTGTGAAAAGGTGTTTGCCCCCTTCCTGATTTCTTATTTTTTTGCATGTTTGTCACACTTAAATGTTTCAGATAATCAAACTAATTTAAATATTAGACAAAGATAACACAAGTAAACACAAAATGCAGTTTTTAAATGAAGGTTTTTATTATTAAGGGGAAAAAAAAATCCAAACCTACATGGCCCTGTGTGAAAAAGTGATTGCCCCCCCTGTTAAAACATAAATTAACTGGTTTATCACATCTTTGGAAAGCTGAGTTCAATTTCTCTAGCCACACCCAGGCCTGATTACTGCCACACCTGTTCTCAATCAAGAAATCACTTAAATAGGACCTGCCTGACAAAGTGAGGTAGACCAAAAGATCCTCAAAAGCAAGTGAGGATCAGGAAGGGGGCAAACACTTTTTCACACAACTGTATATATAAACACAGTATATTTAATATTTAAGCATTTCTTATCTGCATTCTGCCCGCACTGCAGTAGCACAGAGACATTTGAAAATTGGCAACGTTTCCCTTGAATGAATTCAAACTCAGCCACATTGTTTTGGCAATTAAAACAACTTTTTATCCAAATGTGCATCCAAACACACACATCTCTTCCGTCTCTCTCCATATTGCTCCCTTAGCTTTCATTAGATGGGCAGAACAGACAGACTGGAAAGGGTAAGAGAGAAGGGACAACATGTAGCAAAGGGCCGCGGGTCGGATTCAAACCCGGACTCAGCATTGGTCCATGGGGAGCTTCATAATGGACTCTACACTTCCCCCTTTAACTCCAGACATGTGATAAAAGTGGCCAGCTGTTTAGCTGCAGCTGCAGTGCTTGGGGAAAAGACCGTAGATACTTCAACTGTTCATTCGGGGCATCAACTTGATCCCAACAGGAGGAGTCCATTAGTTATCTAGCTAATATTATCCATCATGCTTGTTACCAAAGGTCAGGTTAGTATGTTGAGTGTTGTGAGCTTTCAGGGGTCCTTAGAGAAAGACCAACGACACAACACTTCAACCTGGTGCTGGGCCTCTGGATACACAAGCATCTTAAGTTCAGCGACAATTTGTTTCACTGAAGTATACTGTAGTATCACAATGCATTTTAAAATGATATCATGAAGATATCAAATAAAAAGGAAAGCTAAGAACCGCTCGCTCAGTTTTTTCTCCACTTGTCACCAATGCAGGCAATGAACTCAGGTCCCCATTGGAAGAGGCACAGCCGACTTTCTAAAGGTGTGACGGCTTCAATTACTTGGTGCTAAAGAAGAAGAAGAAGTTTTTACATCATAGAAGCATACATTATCACGTTGGCATGAGATAAACGTATGCATGAGTGTGGGGAAACAAGTGCTCGAACTACAGCTTATATACAAACCTTTCAAAATAAACTCTTTCTTATGTTGTCAGAGTGACACAAAAATGGTGAAATACATTAAGCTTTAAAATTAAGCACATAATTGACAGAAGATTTAAAAAAATCTTTAATATTAAAACAATTTGTGTAATTTCAATGTAGTGATTGAATCAATTGACTACAGTCAGGTGATTTATTGAGGTTTTAAGCAATTCAACAATTTTTTTATTTCAATGATTCTTCATAAATAATTGATATCCACCTTTAAAAAAACAGCACCACTTTAACTTAAATAAAATATGTTATGAACATTTTCAACTCTACTGTATATGATACTGAAAACAAAGAATAGACAAACACATTTTTTTGGGGGCATTCTGGTTTTTCTCTCCAGCTCCAGAGCTGTCTATTGATCTGTGGAGAATTGGCACTTAAGTAAGCTCTTAACACACACACGCACACACACACACACACACACACACACACACA